AGGAATTTAAAACATTGGAAAAGTGGGCCTGCAGGCAACACCACTATTTGAGTATTACAGGTGCGGTAATTCCTCATCCCCTCCCTCCCCCCCATGATAATACAAGGCAACACAAATATTCTCGGCAAAAAAGGAATCTGTACAGGGAACGACTGTACACTTGATGTGACCGCAGAATTGAGAGTGTGACAAAATGATTCTGCTCCCACTGAAAAAGAGAATACAACAGGGCCCCATAGTTACAGGTTCAGCTGAAACCAGTGATGCAAGCCCCAAAATGTAGAAACTGCATCGGTGATTACGACAATTACCTAGTTTGGACTCCTTTAGATTTGCAGCATAACGAAGGCATTTTACAGAGCAACATTCAGGAGAAAATCTTATCCAGGCAAGAATTGCTCTGCAAGATAGGAGAGTTCAGTAGCATGCACTGCACTTGTTCTCCAGATAGCAGCCGTTGCTCCTGTTCTTTGCCCTTTTTGATATGAATCACAGTAGCAACAGAAGTATGTACTTTAGCAAAAAAACAAAAAGTAGAATTATGTGTGTACAAGAAAAATGTTCAAAGTGTTGTGCAATCTAACTATTGAAATCCACTAAAAATGCTGTCGCTAATAACTATTCATAAACTCTTCCCCGTGTTGTGAAATTCAGAAACTACTACGATTAATTCTTGATATAAGAAGTATGCTTCTAAGCCCTGATATCTGTTCCAGTTTTTTGTTTTTGTTTTTTTTTTTGAACTGTGCTACTTTATGGGAACTAATACTTATCCACAGTTTTACTTGGTGTACCCTCTCCAGAGACATGCTGTGTTTCGTGGAGCCCTGGTTATACCAATATAATACAGTAAAATAATAATAAATTAAACAAATGCAGGTGCATTTAAAAAACCCAAAGAAACAAAGAAAAAAAAACAAAACAAAAAAACCACAACAAAACAAACAAAAAACCCCCAAAAAACAAACAAACAAAAAACCCCACGACACTGTCAAATGCTGGTCTCCACATGAAGAGACCAAGGATTTAGATGCAAAGTACTACAGATCCCGCCATCAAAAAAAAAACACCCAAAAAACCCACAAACATTCAAACAAGGAAATAAAAGCTTGCGTATGTTTTAAAAATTAAACACAAATACCACCTCGATGTTAGCTCACCCACACCTATAAAAACCTCTTGCCGTGCCCACATTTGCAGTTATTCATTTACACCTCAGGAGGCAGCCTGGAGATGAGAGTAGTACAATAAAATAATTACCTGAAACATTTTTAAAAAAATACCCGTTAAACAAATTACCTTCACTGGCAGCACTTAAAATTGGTAATTCTTTTTTTTTTTCCTACTTAAAAAAAAGTTGCATAGCTGTAAGATTTTGCTTTGCTGCATTTTTTTTCATTGTTTTTTTTTTTTTAATCACAAGCAGTAAAAGAGAAGTTTTAGTTACTTAAATAGCAATACAATGTGCAGATTTCAACAATCCCTATAGCTTGATCAATATAAATTAGTTACCTGTCTTGGTTTTACTCTTTGGACTGCATTGTGACAAAGGTTTAGTTACAAAATGTTGAAATACAGTATTCCTATGCGGAGAGGTTTATGTTTTCTGTTCTTGAAAAAAAGTGAAGAACGTAAAACAGGGTGTGAATTCAGTAAATTAAGGTCACACTGTTATGTTATATTTAGTTTGCCATTGACTCTTCTTCAGCCAACAAGAAGGTGAAAACGTTCCCACTCAAAACCGAGGCCATCCTCCTACAAGGGTCTCCGATAGCACGTATTGAACGTCTCTGCTTCCACTTGAGGCAGTAGGAAACATGTCCAATAACCCGCTTCTTCACAGAACCAGAAGTGAGGCTAAAATTAGGAACTTTGGCCTTTGATACAAAAGAGTGTCAGTAATGTCTGGGGGGAGTCGATTGTTACCAGAATGTGCAGCATTTTCAAAATCCCTGTGTGTCCTTTGCATGAGTGTTTGGTATACCGAGCACAACCAGCAAGTAACCGGTGTCTGCAATGCTTTCTCCATGTCAATGTCCATCTTTGCCTTCTTCAGCCACCACGAACCGTAAGTCTCAAGCCAGGCACGCTGTGTTGGGCCAGGGAACCTCACATCTCCTATGTTTTCTGACCAGTGGAAGCAGCTGTTGAAAAAGCAGAAGACAAAGTACTGTCGACTTCAGCTATTTCAGTATATAACACATTCAAACAGCACCAGCACAACCACCGCGTTTTCCTTCCCCTTCTCCCCAAGCCCCCAGTTATCACCATCGCTGCTGTGGATAAAAAACAAACAGAATTTAACATGAGGTTAGACACCCAGGAGTGTATACCGAGACAAATGTGTTCATAGACAGCATGAGGTCTTCTACAATTCAGTTGTTGGGGGCAATACAGGAAACGTGTTTATCAATTTTGGCTAACGCAGCCCTGAGGTTAAAACTGTGATCCCTATGGCAGGATACCTTCCTTCAGGTTTTCTCTGCTACCCCTGCAACAACCAGAGCGCTGCAACGTGACCTGCAACGCGGCCTCAGGAAGAAAGACGAAGCAAATGAACAAATAAATGCCAATGATGAAGTCTTGACATTTTTATTTGTTTTTCATTTCCATCATAACAACAAACCCAAAGCCTCAGCTACCAGCCAGAATTTCAGATATCTCAATTTCTGTAAGAATTATGATTGTTGGTGTGTTTTGCAACGCTTAGGGGCAGTAGTTTAATGCAAGATAAAGTTTTCGAACTAGTCAGCTAAAAGAATAAACCTATCCTTTAAACCTTTGACACCGATTGCAGATCTGCAATCATTAACACAAAACATAAGCTAGAAAAATGCGAACCTTTATGAGATGGGATGGATAGAAACAAGTTAGTGTTTTTTATTTATTTATATATTTTAAACATTCTGGAATGCATTAACATGAAAGTGGTTTTGAAAATACCTAGTTTCAGCTTTTTCACATGATTCCAAAAGCTTTCTGTCAGAAATAAGTGCCAGTACTCATGGAACAATCCAAAATTACACAATTGTAGTGTTTTAATTTTGTTTCATTTCCATGGAAAAAGTACTCTTTAAAAGTTAATGCTAAAGCTTTGTTGGCACTGACTTGCCACTTTCCAGTACTAAAACTGGGATACATCATTTCAGACCATGCCATATAGGGATGCAGAAACCTTTTACGTGTTGCAATATACATCAATACTTACTGATTAATATTGCAGTTCTGAGACACAGTAGCAAATTCAGAAGTTTAAAAAAAAGCATAGTTATTTCAGATAATCAAGCTATTTATAGTTGAAATGTACACGTTTGAAAAGAAATATTACCTAAAAACATGATTCTTGTCTTAATCTGATGGATGCTCAGGGCAAGATCTATTTACTTCAAACCATTCATCTATGCAGCTGTTGGATGCAAGACAAAAATGAAAACAATTGACATGAATATCTCAGTAACAGCAGAAAGGTATGAATATAAATTGGTTTCTCATCATTTCAATGACTAGTAGGATTTTATATTCTACAAAGAAGTATATGTATATATACATATCACTGGAAAATTTAATAACCCCAAACCACAGTAATATTTGGATATTAAACATTGTTGAAAAAACTACATTTCCTAAGTGTTATAATTTTCTAAGGAAGCAGTTTACCAGTTACTATCCAGCTTTTATACACAGGTTACTTCACTACTAACACTATCATCTTGCTTATATCATTCATTGACATTTTACTTCCTGTAGTTACAGACACTTGTGGGAAAAAAAAAAAAAAAAGTAGTAAGTTTTAAAAGTGTTCCCCTCGCTCTTCCCCCTAAGTCTATTGGCATCTAAGTACCAACAACCCAAGCCTCAATGGGCACACCTTCCCCATACAGGTGATTTTGCCTTATTTTTCCTGTGGGCTTCTCATGCAAAGCATGAGAAGACTACAGTAGGGAAAACTGACTTCAAATACATTGGTGGAGATAAAAAAAAAATAAAAAAAAAGTCATCTTAAAAACATCTTTAGGGTTGCTGCTGTTGTTTCTTTGTTTGTTTTTTTTAAATGTAAAAAGCAACTACGTTTTAGTGCTCCTTTAAGCACCCCTTAGAGGAGTTACCCAATAAATGCAACCTCCTGGAATTTTATATGCATCCCGAGGAATACTTGCCCTTTATGATATATGCAGAGGCAAGGCAGCCGTGCTATCGTATCTCCTTGCTGCAGCTCTTCCAGGCATATTGCACACTCCCCAGCGTCTTTACTCAGCACATCCTCTGAAGAAAGAGCACAAAGTTAAATGGTTAGAAAGTGGACTACTACGAGCAAAACACTCTTTATTCAGAACGTCAAGGACAGCTATAGAAGATACTTCTGGTCCCGCAGAAAGCTCTGTCAAGGTGAGGATCAGTCACACATCAGCTGACTGAAGATTCCTGGTGGGAGACCTGTTAGCAGCTCAAATTAAAATGTGGTTATGATTCAGTTCCTTGCCTGAACGACACAGCCATAGCTCAAAATGAAGTCCTGTAAGAGACACCCGTATGGAGAAGAGAGGTAGCCATAATTGACAGTCAGTATCCCTTTGGAGTTTATACTCTCCTAGCAGATCCGTACCCCATCACACAGGCTGCTCTGATCCGAGCTTGGAAACCCGTGCTCTGAACCACGCGGCCGCAGCGGCCGCAGGCTGTGCTGCTGACCCCAAGAGCTAAGCTATGGAGAAGTTGGGTCCTTCATACAGATGGTACACAATGCCTCCAGGGCTTTGAGGATTCATGCTGGGTGGGTTTTTCCTAGCTTTACCTTCTTCCCCATGCTCAGTTTTCACTATGGAGGTTAGGTTCAAGTCTGAACATAACATTTCTCTGGAGAGGAGACACTGCAGGTAATTAACTAGGTAAAGATGATCTTAACTTCTAAACAGAATCACAGAATTGATGAAGTTGGAAGAGACCTCTGGGATCATCCAGTCCAACCTTTGCCCCAACACCACCGTGTCAGCCAGACAATGGCACCAAGTGCCACATCCAGTCTTTTCTTAAACACCTCCAGGGATGGTGACTCCACCACCGCCCTGGGCAGCCCATCCCAACACCTAACGACCCTTTCTGGGAAGAAATGCCTCCTCATTTCTAGCCTGAACTTCCCCTGGCGCAGTTTCAGACGATGCCTTCTTGTCCTGTCACTGGTTGCGTGGGAGAAGAGGCCGACCCCCACGTGGCTACACCCTCCTTTCAGGTTGTTGTAGAGAG